TACAAATAAATGCTGTTCACTCTGTAATTCTACAAAGAAGGCATTCGTTAATACTTAATCATTCTGCTGAGGTGCGAGCAAATTTTAGAGTCAGTGTCCTAATTGATATGGATAGGTTTTCAAAATCTGTAACAAAACAGAGACTCTTTGCTGTAGTAGAGAAAATGTTGAGTTCTTGGTACATCGCTAGAAATGCTAATGAAAACAGCAACCTAAACATGTAAAATCGTAGAATTCAGGCATGAAATGTTAATTACGTTCAACTAGATTGAATTTGGAATGATATTTTGGATTATCTCAAGTATGATATTATCCTTAGGTCAACTCGTTAGAAATAAACCATTTTTTTCGAATTCCCTGAAAATTGCAAGCTTTGAAATGTTTTCTTCATTCCCTTCACGATATTATTCTATGCCCCTTCTTGAGTATCCCTCAGGACTAAAGATGAAGCTCGTGATATGTGAGACCATGATTGCTCACTTGGCCTCGGTGAACGTTGTTCAAAATCTCTAAAGGGAGCATTGGGGGAAATTTTGTTAAAAGAAATGTTTGGAAGGGTTTTCCGTCTTTAATTAATTCATCCATACATGCACCATTCTTTAGAGTTGGATTGATCATTATTTAACTTGGGATCCGGTGGAATATGGGAATATTCGAGAAGTACGCCTACCGATATCAAATATTTGGAAACCGGACGTATTATTGTACAATAGCGTCGATCAACAATTTGACAGCACATGGCCTGTCAATGCAGTCGTTTACCAGTACGTACACATTCTTTTAAAAAAAAATTCGTAAAAACCGCACTTTTAGTACCGGAAATGTTACCTGGATACCGCCAGCCGTAATTAGGTCAAGTTGCAGTATTGACATCGCTTATTTTCCCTTCGATTCTCAGGTAAACTTGTACCAAAAAGGGACTAAGTTCAACGAAGAAATGTCAATTTTAGCACTGTACTATGAAGTTTGGATCTTGGACATACTCAGGATTCTTCACTGATTTGCGCAATGCTTCAGTTTCTGTAGGCACATATCAACCAAATGGAGAATGGGAGCTGTTAGGTACTTTTTTACCAAACGTTGGAATGAGCACCGCCTTTTCTTCGAATTAAAATGCATCAAGAGCAAATTTTGCATCAAACTACTAGGATAATCGGATAAGTTCATCCCATTATTTCAAATTTAAAATGTTCTAATGGACAGTTTTAGCAGCATTCTGCATACCATTCACAATAGCCTTGCTCTACAAAACTTTGCAGTTAGGTTGCTCAACACACTCAGTAGTGTGTTGAATTATAAGTGGTAGATTAAACGTATTTCTAGAGGGCCAAAAAAGTCCAACCGACACCTAATTTCTCGAGATTGTAAGGACCTCAAAAGTCATTGTGACGCTAATTACGAGCTAATCTATGCAGGGTCA